TCAGGTTTAGCAGCAAGCACTGGCAGGTCTGTAGAGTGAGAAAAGGCAAAATACACTTGGAATTTGCTCTGATCAACACCACTAAACACATGTCGTTTTAACAGAAGCTGTAACGCCTGTTGAGGACTAATTGTGGGGGTCCTCTAGTGCTGCAGGGGGCTGGACTGTGGCTCTGTGGTGGTGCATATTTTCCATTTCGTAAAATAGAGGATGCCAGGTAATTCGCTCAACGCTGACTGCACTCCTGGTAAAAAACCAGGAAAACTGACCAGCAGAAATGCCTTCATACTCCAGACTCCTTCCTTTCCTCTTAAAACGATCTATTAAAGCAGGGCTGGTTTAGCTAGTTTGAGTCTACAACACAGGCTGGACTGCCACAGCCCAGGACATGTCCAGCCGTAATATGATTTTAAAGCATTTTAAAAATCAAGTATCTGCCTGCTTGAAGTGAGCACTGATTTCATCTTCACCCAACTTCATTCAGATTTTATTATCTGACAAGAGGCATGTCAGCTGAGTAAATGGGAAATTGACGCAAAACCAAAAGGAGCTTGGTCTAGGGCTGCTGAACTCCTGTGGGGCCCCTGGAGGAGACATTTCCAGCTCTCTACCATGCCCATCCCTCTCTCAGAAGAGATCTCATGCAAGCCATTAACAGTAATTTCTCCATGGGCCTCCTGGAGGCTAATGCTCAGTTTCTGCACTGCTGTGAGCTGACCAGCACCCTCCAACTAACATGCTCAGAAGGGTAGGAAAAGCTGGCAAGCACCCCAAAAGTAGGAACAGCCACCCCAGAGTTGCCCAGTCTTACTCAAACCTTGTTGCTACAAATCAACAATCTCCTGCTCACACCAGGCCAGGAGCTGGTACTGCAGTACCAGAACACACTCAAGTATCCTCCTGGGGCCTCACAAACTTCGCCTTGACCTTCGCTGGGAGAGATGCTTCTTGGTGGCAGAGCCATCAGTACAAACAGCCTCCCAAAAAGTGCTTTCTTCCCCTGGGAAAAACTGATGGCTCCTGGCTGACCCCACGGGAAGGGACTTGTGTTTCAAGAGCCTTCCACATGTAGTAGGATCCTGTGCAGCAGCGATGCTGAGAGCTGCACGGCTCCACTAACACATACCTTACAGCCTCTTTGCAAACACGCTTTTGTTTGAGCTTCCCAATGTCTTCCAACAACCTTTGTGACAGCGCTCAGAGGGATGTCACCTCCCAGGCATCCGTTCTAGCAGTAACAGCAGACAACCAGGACACCTGAGGGGTGGGAAGTAACCAGGTGGGAAAGAAAATGGATTAAGCCATGACAGATACCAAAGTACAAACAGCCAAATAAAACAAGCAGTCTAACCTGTTGCTGAATATGTTCCCTCTTAGTTATCAGGGCCTGAAGTGTGTTTATTCATTCATTGAGGTTTTGATACACGAGTCTATTTGATACATTTTTTGTTTTAACAAGCCTGCAAAAATATAGCATTTCTTACTTCAATAGATGATGTTACTATATGGGTTTATTTAGCCAGTGTGATTTTCTCCCTGAATCTCCACAGTACTTCAGTTTTTTTCCTGTCTTGGTGAAGGATAAAGCAGAGTAAATACTTAGTAGTAGATAATTAATTCAACCACTTCTTGCCCATCTCCTCCAAGACACTCATTTCCTGGATGTTGTTCAATATTCAACAATTCTTTATCTTTAGTTAGCTACTAAACTATTCTCAATAGTTTGACACCTGCAATATGAACAGTTTTGAATGGACATAAACCACATTATATTTGCCTGATGGGGTAGAAATACTCTTGCTTTCTCTCTTTTTTTGCTTAGAAGATTCCCAAGAAAACATTATATAAATAAGGCATAAACTCAAAGGAAGCACATTGACTCTCCAGTGCGGGACACTCAGGGAAAGCAGTTACCCACCTCTCCTGTAGATACTGAGGTTTGCATTTTATATTAAGAGGATAGTGCCTGAGGGTCCCAGCCTGTAATATGGCATTTCACAGCCATGCTCAGTCCCTGAGGTCACTTCTGTACCCAGCCAGAGCTCAGTGACCGCAGTCAGCTCCCACTGTGTCATTGCCAACTGCATGCTTGTGTTCAGGGAAATGAGAGACATAAACCACATTTACTATACACATGAAGCATTTGCTTAACCCGTTCCACAATGAACTAGCAAACACAGAGAACTTGACATCTATTTTCTTTTTTTTTACCAGTTACTACCCAACTCATGTTATCATCTGTATATGCCTACTGGCCTGAGGCTCTGTTGCATGTGTCATCCACAGATGACAAATGTCAACATCATAAGCTACACACAAACAGGCAGTTAACCTTACACTCAAAGCTTATACACGAGCTCTTATACACAACCTTATACACGAGCTCTTCCATTCCTCCTTATGACACTGACAACAAAAGTGCCTTAAATCTCTTTCTGATGAAGTGCTTTCTTGCAGTAAGTGAATCAGGAACAGCATAGCAAATTTTACTGCCTCAGATACAGCTGTGTTACAGAGGCGCGTGTGGTTTGGCAGTGTAATCTTTTATGATAAAGTATTAAATGGCAAAGAAAGCTTCTTAAGTTAATCAGGGCTTAATTTAAATAAACAAGTCACACAAAGATTAACCAAAAATCCTCAATGGAATCTGAACACAAAAATAATCTGCTCACGAAGTCCTGGGCAAAGTTCACAAAAGCAACTGCGCTGGGATGAAACTGGCCCACTGACCCCCTTATTGGCACCCCAATGAAAAAGATGCTCATTTTCTAAAACACCAACAAAATCATTTCCAGCTCTATTAATGCAAACAGCAGTTTTGGCATCATCACAACCATATATGCTACTACTGCCAGTGAGGGGAAAAGGAGGCGGTGGCAGGATGAGCCCATTTCTGTGATGGAGAGGAGTCAGCTGAACCCTCCAGGAAGAGATCTGGACCTGCCTGAGCCAAAGCCCATGGTGTTACCAACTGATTTCACAGCAACAGCAGAAATCCCCCCAGCAGAACCCTACAGGTTAGGGAAGCACTCAGGGAGAGAGCAGCAGTCCTGTGGGTAACTTCACTGCAACAAGCCACAGCTCTGAAGAGCGGGGCTCCTTGTAGCCTGTCATTTATATGTGTGCATAAATATTCACATGTTCAGCACATAAACAGGTGATGATAATAATTTAAAAACTCTCATCCTAGGCCCAATATTGTTATTATATCCCACAAGGGTAATAAAAGACCAAAACATGCCAGGCTGGAGCCCATGCAAAGAAAGTATCTTTGGGCTGACATGCTGTATATATCAGGTCCTTCATTACACAGTCATCATTCTGCTGCTCTACAGACTCTCTTAGTGCTTTCAGTACTATGACTGGTACACAATTCCAAGTATTACCTTTTTCCAATTGCAAACCCATCTTCTTTATTTTTTCCCCATGAGAGCTGCTGATTATCTCCCAAATGTCTTTACTTCATGAAAAAGTCTGTTATGTTAAATGTACATTTTTCCATTCCTTTCTTTACCACCATCTTTGCTAAGCCGAAAATTTACACTGAACTTGAGTTAAATAAAATCAATTCATTAAACAAGAACATCAGAATATTCACAAAGCTAAAATCTCAGGTAGGATAGCAACAGAAAATATTTCTTCATGACATTTCTCTTGCCCTTGGGCGAAACCGGTTCGTTTTGACATGACAAAAACGTAACACCTCTTTTGCTTGCTTTTTTGTTACTCAGACCATTGTGAAAACAGGTACAAGGAGACCAGCTGATGACTAAAGAAAAACATTCTATTTAATCACAATCTGTACATCCAAAATAGAAATTACAAAGCTGCTTTTTAAAATGCATTCACAACACCACTCTGCCACGGTCAATGTGCCAGAAGCAAAGTTCTTGTGAGCTACTGGCAAAAAGGAAATTCCAGCCATGGACAACTTGCTGACAGGCATCAGGTGAAAGGAAGGCTAGAAGGGCAGTGGGGTGTGCAGGGGCAGGAGAACAGCCCAGGCAACTGGAGCTCTGCAGCCACCCTCCACATTTGATCACTCCCTACTCACCTCTCCCACCGGCTCCCAACATCTCCCATGTTCCAGTATGGTTTTGACCTTTCTTTCCTGACCCGTTGTGCCAGGTTAACATGAGACTGTTTCCTACATGATTTCATACTGAAATGTTTTGCACACAAGGCATTTCAAAGGTAAGATTAGGTCCAACAGCAGTGTTGCATATTTTACATTTGGGCAAGCATTTTAATTTATATTGCACTGAAACTGTCCTTTCATAGAGAAACTTGCCTGAGGTCACTGAGGAAGCCTGTGGGAAAACTGCCCCTGGCTGCAAAACCCCACTAGCTGTAGGACCACCACTTCTCTCTTTCATATTAAAGTAGAAAGAAATTAATATATTGAATCCCCCATTATCCTCCTCAAGTTGCTTCATCTTCCGCTTCAAATAGTCCTCTCTTTATGTTCACCTTGGATCTCACTTTATCCTCACGTTAGAGACGTGTTATCACCAGCACAAATGCAAAACTCCTGTTCTCAGACTGTGCTGCTGGCGACTTGGAGCAATTCTACATCAAGTACAAAGTGTACCACTTGCAGGGGAATATGAATAATACCATGCTGCTGCTTTAGCACAACTACATCGCTGCACAGAAAAAAAATGGCACAAGAAACAGTGAAAAAGAAAAATTTGTATCTCCTTTTCCTTCTGCCATTGTTCCCAGAGCTTAATGGAATTCAAATATACTGAATATAAATGATTAAATAAAAAGGCAAATGAAGTTTCTTCTTGGTCATATCAAGTATAGCATCAGTCTGGTATCTTCCATGTCCTCTGTTAGGGAATTAGTACTTAACATTTAACATCTCCAAAGTGCTGTCCATCAATTGCCTTATAACCTGACGCTTGCCAGCCCTGCGGATGGTCTCCATCACCTCAGTGCAGGAAGTTTCCTAACACTAATGAACATATTCAGCCTTTCTATGGCACAAATGCAGGTTATTTTAGTTTTCTCCTCCCTGCCAGGGAGCGCAGTGGCAGCAATCCCTCGATCCATTCATTGGCAGCCAACATCATCTCCTGCCAAAAGGCCACCTCCTCTTGCGTGGAGTCCATCCAGTCCACAGAGATACCATAGCTCAAACCTGAAAAGAACAAGAAAACTACAATGTTGGGAGCTACACAAAGAGTTCCTACTCCATGCAAAAATACTCAGTGGGATGGAACTGCTGCAGGCAGTGTCTGAATACAAATGGTGCTGACTTCTCCTCAGCAAGCTGCACCTTAACCAACCTGCTGATGACCTCCATTTTACATCAAGTTCAGAATGAAGGCAATGTGAAAACCACAAAATGCAAGAACCCTAAACATAACCTGCCAAGGAAAATAATACTGGGTTCAAGCCCTTCTGCCTCTTTCAGACTGGTAGGCTAAAAGACCTGGGTTTTCCTTAATCCTTTTGGAAATCCTGAAGGATTTCCCTTAATCCTGTAAGGGAAAGGGTTTTCTTGTGGACAGGGTGGAGTATTTGTCAAAATTCTCTTGCTCTACATCTCATTTATACAGGAATCAAACATATGATAGTGGAAAAACATGTACATCAATTCCAAGTTGATTATTCAACCAGATTTTCATGTGCCGACTACCTACCAATGAGATAAAGGTCTACCTTTGCAGTTGGTATTTTTCTATCTTGCTTATGTGCTTATTTTTGTTGTCCCTTCCCACTGGATAGTTCACAACCCTCCTGGTGAGAGAGACTGAGAACAGAACACACAACCAGATCCAATATACATAAGCACACCTGCAAGGCAGACCTTCCTGCTACTCTAAGCCTTTTCCCAATACCCTCAAGGAGCACTTAACCTTTATTACAGCATTCTAAAATCTTTTCTTTGTCTCTCATCTCTCAGAGAACCTCTTGCTTAACAACAAATGCTTTAGAAAACCTTAGATATCCCACTTAGAAAAACACAAATATGAACCTCATGGCATCAGCTCCCAGAGACAGTGACACCTCCCAGTGGAGCAAATGGCACCTCTGCTGAGGTCTTTCAGCGCTACATCGTCTAAATAAAAATAAACCATAAACCCAACAGTAACACCTTAGTCTACACCCAGACAACTCCGTCACTGCAGTCGGTGATTTCGTTCCAGCTGATGAACTCTCAGTACTGATTACCTACCAGATCAACTAGTGTAGCCTGCCTTGTTTTCCAAACAGGCTACCAAAGCTTTTCAAGGGAGGAGGTAATGTGGACAGAGTCACCAGGTGGTGCTGTCCCGCATGGCATTCAAGTTCATATCTGAGCACACTTCCCTGAGAGAAGCAGCAATATAATGTTGATTTATAACACAGCCTGTTTTCCTGTAACACCAGACTGACAGACCCAAGGAGATTCTGGAGTTTTGCCAAACCTCAGAGCTGACGTTGGCAGAAGAGATGGGAGCAGAGGGTTACTATCATGGTACCAGGGCCCCCTCCATCCAAGACACAGTGCAAGTATCAAGACTCTCACCAGTTACTGAGGCTCCCCATTCCTGATTTCTCCCCAACAGGAAAACACTCTGCAACTTCCCATTATATCTTGTAGTTCAGCAATATGGTAACAGCATTCACTGAGTGTAAAGAAAATCCCTTACCTGTCCCAAGGCCCAGCCTGATTCCTCCAAGGAAATGGTTGGTAAGCTTTTCATGATCCCACACAGTCAATTCAACACAAGCATCCTTCAGATCCTCTGTATGAAAGCCATCATATACAATAGTGTGATTGAAAACAGGGTTTGTGTCTCTTTTTATGACTCGGGTCTTTTGGTAACTCTTCTTACTGGTGTCTGGAAGCACATAGCTTTGAGAGCAGAAAAAACACAGCATGTAATACTGAGTATCACCTGACATTTGAACTGTTCCTAAAAATTCCTTGGTCTAAACAAGCCTCAGTTCTGAAGAAAGCAGGAATTTGGTCTCAACATAAGAAATCTCTGTGGATTTAAAGGGAAATGTTCATAATTCCTGGGTGAAACCTTTTTTTGCCTTTTAATATTCCATTTTAAAAGCAAACATTTTCAGGAAGGAGGGTACTGGCTTTAAATTTCCTGCTTTTGGCAATTATTTTTTTTTCTTGCAACCCGACATTTTACATTAAAAAATGGACATGACTTTCACAAATTTCTATTTTCATAACTTTTCATTGCTTAGATGCCTAAGGGGGCATTTCAAAATGGTCAGTTAGGCTTCTGGAGCAGCAAAACTTCCAGCAGGAGAACTCTGTAAGGATTTTCTGGAATATCTGCAGCACCTTCTCCCATGTAACAGGAAGAACTGATGTTGCAGGCTCCAGAAAACTGCACACACTAAATTATGGAGGAGACCGAAGCTGCAAGCAATCATCTCTATGTCAGTTCTGACAAGCCCCTAACAAACTCCCAAACCTTGCATGCAAGCCCATATCAAAACTTCATTCCCACATATTCCTCTCACTCAGATGTTATTAGGGCAAATCACTGTGTGAGTCACAGTAACTGACCAAGAGCTTTATCACAGCAAGGATTTTCCTAATATGGCCACAAGGGAACAACAATTCTCTCCTAAAAAGCCCAATGAATGTTTTACAGTATGGAGGCACAGCTAGGTGAGCCTGAGAAATGGGAAGAAAGCACTGTTCTGTGAGTCAGGACCAAAGCCAGTCCCATGCTTGTGCACTTACCATTTCACAAAGGAGTCAACTCCAGAAGGACGCAACTGCAGCAGGTCCTTGACGTCTTTGACCCAGATGTGAACTTCACCAGAGGGAGGATTCTTGGGACCTGCCATTTAGGAGAAGAGAAAAACTGTCATACCAGTTATCCAACAATAACTAGCAAAATGACAGGCTTCCTCTCCAGGAACCTGAGGGAAAAGCAACACGACTTTCCTGCCTACTCCCTCATGAGCTCTGCACCCTTCTGCCTGGGTGCCACAGTACTACTACCAGCTCTGTCACTCTTGCAGCTGCACAGGGCTCTTGACAATGTGCGGGTGCAGCTTTGAAACAGGAAAGGAGAAGGAACTGTTGGGCAAACCCAACCTTGTGCCACCCCACAGTAAGAGGGGTTGTGTGCTGCCCACAGGGCTCAGAACACCTGATGAGTTTGAGTTTGTTGAGCCCTTCCTCTCTCCGCAGCACCTTCCTAATAAATCCAGATGTGAAAATCAGATGTAGGCTGCAGATAGTGCTATCAAGCGCTGCCAGTTGTGCCTTTGTGCTGATCTCTAAGATCTTGCTCTAATGACATTACTCCAAGAGCTCTCAAACAGATGAGGCATTGCAAGTTGTATGGCTCCATACAGGCAGTATTTCTCAATGCATGGAACACACTTTACCTAGGCTTCCTGGAGGGACATACTTAATAGACAAACTCATCACTCCTCGATGATCCACACCGTTAACAGCAGAAAGGCTCTGAAACAGAAAGAGTTTGATTGATTAAACAAGGGGTTGTGTAAACATAGCAAGGCAAAGAGATCCATAGAGGGGCACAAAGGGACAAACTCTGATTTTGCACAGCTGGAGCAGCCTGTTCTCAGAGCAGCTCCTTTCTTCACAGCTTTGTTCTCAAACTCGGTCCCCCAGAATCAAAAGCCTGAGGGTTCAGAGCAAGGCTGCCCTTCCAGACATGTCCAACCGGACATAATTAAGCATCTGAGTTCTGAAAGACATATGTCCTTTATTTTCTGAAAAGGGATCTCAAATCAGACTTCTGAACCCAGAAAGATGCAGGAAGTTGTACAGGCTTGACAAAAACTGCCACCTGAATATTTACCTTTCAAGGCATGTTCAACTGCCTCACCTATTAATTCTGCTGTCTGTTTTTAAGGGATGGTCTTTATGTGAGGAGAGAGAGAGGCAAAGTCACATCAGAGTTTCTGCTGATTAGTGTCAGATCACATTTCTGAAAGCGTCCCTACAGATCAGTCACCAAAGGAGACCCAGGAAGGCCTGTCTGTGTTCAGAGCACTGAATTCTGCACTAACGTGTCCAGGGCTTGTGGGTGTTCCACTGTTCTTCCCTAGGTATAATACATGTTGTTCTGCTTCACCACACCTGAAGACCTCAGAGGGGTCAGGAAGAACTTCTGCCACCCCTAAAGGCTGCAGGGTTGGGCTAGGAAATAGGACTGCAGATGAGACACACTTACTCGGGGCTTCAGTGGGTACCAGTTGAGTTTCCTGTTGCTCCAGTCCCAGCTGGCCAAATCTATTTCAATCTCTCCCAAAAAACTGTTACGTCCCAGTGGATCATTGTGCCAAACAGAGAGGTTTAACTTTTGGATCAGCAATACCATTTTCTCTATTTTATACTGGAAGAAGAAAGAGAAGTCAGGTTGTTCAAATTTTTCTTCCTTTCTCCCCCACCTCCTCCCAACTGGAAATAAACTACTCCAAACCTTCAGTAAGCCCTGAGACACTCAAAGCCACTCCACACATGCCCTAACGAGTTGGCATCGCTCTGAACATCTCTCTTTTTCCTGCAACAATACTACTACCCTGACAAAGCTTTTCTGCTGAGCACAGGGAAACCTACTGCTCCATTCATCACAGGGCAAAACCAATATTCTTTCAGGAACTACTAATACAGGCCTAGGCATTGTTAAATAATCCTTTAGGCTTTGATGAGTAAGATCACATAATGAAGACCTTCCTTATGAGTCCAGGCCTCTTGACTGCATGCCAGGGAAAGGAAGAAGATCGCCCCTTGCTCTGGCAGAGGGAAGCAAAGGCTGCAGGCCCCTATCTCATCCAAAGACCACTGTGAAGTTTTGACAGAGAAATTTTGGGTGCCACACAGATGGGTGCAGAGAAACATTAACATCTCTACCCTTGCAAACCAAAGCGTGACATTGACAGGAGGTAGGTGAAGAAGCCTGGCCAAGGTGGCAAGACCTTTCAAGACCTGACCTGGTACAGGTGCCTGCTACAACACATGTTTTCAGAGCATGTATTTGTTCTTACCCGTAACACCTCGTTGTAAATGGGATTCACAGTCCTCTTCTTCACTGAAGTTTTCCTCTTACCCATTCTAGCTTTGTCTGGGAGCAGGTAAGTTTTAACATACCTAGAAAAGAAAACAAACTCCAGGTGGGTATCATTCCACATTAGCAAGCTCTAATAAGTGGACAACACTTGTGAATGGTGACATGGAAACAGAAGTCCTGGGGTTGACTCTTTGAGGGCAAAAATAAGAGACCTGCTGGGATATTAACTTGGCTTGCATGTGAAGTTATATCACTGGAGTTGGGTAGATGTCACCAACATTCAGAACAGGCAGTTGTCTAGACAATATACAAAGCCAGCAAGGCCATATATCTATTTTCTGAAATGCTCATAACTATAGCATCTCTGTGCATTCAAAATCAGAGTGAAATTATAGAGGAGGAAAGACGTGGAATGCCTGTAAGTATCTCTCTCAGGGTTCAAATCTTTTAAACCAGCGATCACTAACCTCTGTACAAATACCACTGTGCCCCCAACAGCACTTCTTTATGGACTTTATTTTCATGTAGGCATGTGTCTGCATCGCCAGTTATTGCCAAAGTGTATTCACCATGGGGAGGTCAAGGTTCACGTGTGTGCAGACAGACAACGCACTCCAGTCATAAGAGGAACTGTCTTTGTAGTGATCAAAGCTTTGTCAATCTGTTCGAATTTAAGTCTGGCAACATATTTACTGATGCAAGTGTATCAAAACCATCAGCTAGGGAAGTCCCAGCAGTAAGCACGCACCAGAAGTCTGAAGGAGGGGAGAAACCATGACATTTAAAAAGAGAAAACAAAACAAGAAAATCCCTCAGAACACAAATTTCAGCAATGTGGAAGTCAGAAAGCACCAAGGCATCACTCACGGGTCAGATCTGCCTTTCTTCTCATCCACGACAGCCAAGTCCTTGCACTGGGACACATGAACCTGGAACTCCCGGTTCTTCTCATCATAGTCCAGAGCAAACTCCACAGTGCCTTGGGCATCCACGCTCCCAAAATCACCACTGTAGACACTGAGCACACTGCCACTCACCTGCCAGGTGGAAGAGCAAGGTCAGTGGCACTGAGATAGGCAGCCCCCTGACTTGGTTTCTGATAAAGCAATAGTCTGAACAGTGCATTCCCAGGGAAATAAGCTGCAGTTTCTGTCCTCAGGTACTACTGTGTCCTTGACACAGAAACTGCCCACACGTGCAGCTGGGCTCAAACAAGCAAGGGCTGGGGAACCCAAATAGGGTCTCACAAATTAAGGATGTGCTATCCTAGACCAGGACTTAAAAACATTCTTCTCCTGAATACTCAAGAAATGCAGATTTTTCACCCCTAAATCCCAAACTTTTGGGGAACAGAGCCAAATATTATGGGAGAGGCCACACAAATCTCTTCCCTTTCCCTATGCTTGCAGTACAAACAGTTGCTATCCTGACCCAGCCTCATCACTAAGAAATGTATTGAGAGAACTTGAACTGTCTGGACATGCACTTATTCTTTACTGTAGATATAGTCACACAATTGTCAATCAACTTTTAATATAGGTTAGTAAGAAACACCTCAGACTAGAAATGTAGGAAGAACTATTACTACCTTGTTGCTTGCTCCCAATGTGCACAGAGCTGCACAAAACTGCACTGATCACTCACGATTCCTGATGGGATAACATAAAAGCTAATGCCATTTACAAAGGAAATAGTTCACCCTCTTGGCATCATTCTGGGCTCCAGTCATAGAATCACAGGACCAGCTAGGTTGGAAAAGATCTTGAGGATCATTGAGCCCAACCGTTATCCGAGGACTGTCAAGCCCACCACTAAACCATGGCACTAAGGGCAAAGTGATCTCCCCTCATGGCTGCCCCTCATGATCTCCAGTCACAGCCGCACCTCATCTGTGGCCCCACACTATACAGCTGCTGTCCCTACCCCTCATGGCCACCCTTCATCTTCCCTTAAGATCTCCCCTCATGATCACCCCTCATGGCCCATGGCTGCCCCTGCTCTCCCTTCACGATCTCCCCTCATGGCCACCCTCCTGTCCCCTCATGGCTGGCCCTCCTGTCCCCCCGCCCACTCTCCTCACAATCCCCTCACGGCTGCCCCTCCTGTCCCCTCGCAATCGCCCCACTTCTACCCTCATGATCTTCCCTCATGGCCACCCCTGCTCTCCCCCCACGACCTCCCCTCACTCCTCATGGCTGCCCCTCATCAATGTTTATCAAAAAACTTCCCTAGTAATGAACCCGTTTCTCTCTGTCTCCCCTACTCCCTTTGGTTCTGTATTTCATTCTGTAATAACCTACAAGAACCTGCTAAACGTCTCCCCTCAGCCCTTGGAGCTGCATTTACCAGCCCAGCAGAGAACCCCGGATGAGATTTTCAACACCACCTACGTGACTTGGGCACCACAGGCTCATCTGAGCTACCAGACCCTCAAGACTAGGAGAAGGACTCATGCGGCCCAGAGTTCAAGGGTTTAACATTTACCCACATTCACGACCTCTCCCTACTCGCTTTGCTTCACATATATTCTTTAAATCTCACATGTACGCCTCAGAGATACCAGTAATAATACAGCAAACTCAAGCAGTTTTAAGGAGCCCCCTCCCAAACACTGTCTGTTTAAAAACTGCTCAACTCCACACTCTTCTCATCTTTCCTTTGAAGTTGAAGTTCTAAATCATGCTTTTGCTGTCCAGCTCTGAGTTCCCTTGAATTTGCTGATAAAGTGAAGGATGAGCTTGCAGAGGGCACCCGTCCGCAGTCCCAGCTCTGTTGGAGCTGGACCACAAACACGTCAGTTAATAGCTGTGTGCTTCACTTCCCCACTTACAAAAAGCACCCCCCACACACACTGCCTGGCTTCAGAGCATCCGCACCTCAGAGTGGGGGCTACCACTTACTGTGAACTTGTCTAACAATGACTCAGTGGGTCTAATTTAAGATGGTACCTGGAGACACTCCTTTAACACAAGTAAGTAATTAACCATCACCATTCTTTTCACAATGTACCGTGCAGAAAAGAACAGGATGCTCTGGAGGCCGCATCACCATCACCAGTATCTGCCTAAATGCAGTGTCACTGCATCCGACGGAGAAACCCTACCTAAGCGAGATGCACAAGTTGAACACCTACCGAGGAGACAGATGCCATGTCAGAGGAGTGGCTGCCAACGCTCGGCGTCTTTTTGTGCTTGTTAAACTGGAAGCTGATTTCCGAAGCTGTGTCTGATTCCGTCTGCTCAGGAAATAACAAGCATCTTTCAGCCCTGCTGTACAAGCACTTTGCAAGGCTACAGAGAAAAACCAGTAGCTCAGCAGAGTCCCGTTAAGCAGCGATTAGGTGAGGAGAGTGGAGGAGAGAGCAGGGAGTCTCCCCAGAGGCATTCCCTCAGACTGGCAATGAACGTCATCATTAACTGCCTCCAAACAGAGCTGCATGCAACTGCCTGAGCTCCTGGAAAGGGCAGGGAATAGTCTGAGACAGAGGGAAGCACTAAACTCCTCCAGGATAGAAGGGCTGGTCTGGGTTATTTGAGGCTTTCTTCTTAATGTTTTTCTCATTTATTTATGACATAAACAAGGCATGCCCTAAAGCAAGTACTGTCCATGCCCAGAAGAAATATTCTAATCAATCTGATGGCCATTCAGGGGATGCTGTGAACATTACTCCAGCCATTCATGGAATTTGACCTACCTCAGACAACAGGAGAGGAGAGGATCTGCTCAGCTCTTTGACTCTTTCAGGTTCAAGAAACTGATGGGGTATCAAATGAGGTTTATTGTAGGCTATAGGAACAAACAAAAAAGGCATCAAGATATCTTGTCAGTCAAGAAAATATAAGAAACCTGTATTTTGCTTAAGGGCACAAGGAAGAAGAAAAAGCTTACGGGAGGCACTGGAGTACCACCTACTTGCCACGTCTGTCATCTGCCGTTGATGCTGACCCCCCCGGACAAAATCTGCTAGCTAACATTAAAGCTGTTACGAGCGTCGTTTTGTTAAGTGTGTGGGACGCTGCGAACTCCCTCTAGTGGCTAATTTAATCCACTTATTAGCCTAAGGACATGTATCTGCATCACTTTGCATAGATTTAATTTAGACTAAAACCATACAGGTCTGCCTCATGTCAAAGGAACCAAACATGCTCACATTTTCATCTCATAGTATATCGCTCTGTACAAAAGAGCTGTAAAATACTTACACCTACAATTTCACCATTGCATACACCTCAACCAGTCTGCTAGACAAAGAGGTGGAAAATAGCCAGATACCTAAAACAAAATAGTCAGAAAGCTTCCTATCAACTTAGAAAGATGGTTACTGGACTGCTTAAATGTTTAAATAAAACCTATTTGCTCTATCTTTATCTTTTCTCAATAACTCCCTTGAAGATGGCTATCTCTATCCCAGAAGAACTTGGTTTTAGAAGACAGATGTGCATAAACATGCGTACACATGCACACACTTGTTCAGCATCTTAATCATGACGATAAATTCTTGAACGCTCAAAATGCCCAAGAGCTTCTTTGGCATTTTCCTTTTATATGATTTAGTTTGCATATAATTTACCATTCATTTGATATTTACTACTTTTATTTCCAAACATGAGCAAACCCTTAGCTCTAGCCCTCTCCACAGACTACTTGTTATGCTGCAAACAACTGATGATGTTTGTGGCTTTAAGCAAGCTTTAATAAGGGGAGGCTAAAATCTTGGCTGTCTGTATGAAGACCATGTTACTGAACAGGAATGCACGTGGGACCTGAAGCTTCAAGCCACCAAGCTGTGCGACACGTTGCTGTGCTATACAATGGGTGAGGCACTTGGCATAAGGCCACCACACAGGGTGGCCACAGTCACCAGGCAGTGCAGCATGTCCCACCTGCAGACTGCCTTCAACACAGCCCCGAAGGGGACGCTCCTCCCTCAGGCTGGGGGTCAGGCTTACTTAAACAGGCTTGATCGTTTCCTCTAAGCAGCTTTACCCTTCCCTCAGGAATTGCCTTCCCACCCATCCCACCTCAGTCCTGGCCCCTTTGCTTTTAGGCAAGCTGTTAGCTGTCCTCTTGGGCTGGCTAGTTTTCACCTTTAGGGGACTGTTACTTTCTTGCCCACAGAGGCTGCTGCTGCCTTCTTTAGGCCCCCTTCCTTAGCTGCAGCTTTCTTGGGCTTCTTGGTGGCACAGACAGGTTTCTTGTCCACGGGTTTCTTCTAGATTTGCTGCTGCTCTCTTGGTTGCCTTCTCCTTAGCTTCTCTTGGTTTCTCAGGGAGAAAATGTCACCATAAAGCATGTCCCAGCTGGTAGCTGGGGAGATCAGTCCAGCATATGGGGTGTGCCCTGGTGAGGTGAGAAGCCCCAGCTGGGCACTGCAAGCCCGGTGACTATGTGACTGGGGTCTGCAGCACAACTCGCATGCTGGATCTGAGGTCTGGCACCTCTGACTAATCAATCACTGCACAGGCTGCCATGCAGCTCCCACCATACTTGGTGGGGGAAGAGGAGAGACTAGTACAAGCTTCCGACCCTTTGAAGACCTTGTGTTTTTTGCTGAAGACCCTGAGTAACACACCATCAATCTAGCTGCAATTTCCTGGCTCTGAATTAAATTTTAGGCACTATAAGCTCTCTAATTTGATGATGAAACAATACGTCATTTTCCTTGCCTGGTACGTGCACTGAAGCACCAGGGATGCAGAACTCAGGCATAATATATTACCTTCAGGGAATGTAAGCCAAAAAGGAGAAAGAAAGAAAAGATGTTACTCACTCTCTGTGGTTGTGTAAATGTTCACCATGCTCTTTGCAAGGTTAATGCTGTTTGCTCGGGCCAATGCCTGAGCAGCAGGAGAACGATCCCCATCTTCCTCTGGAATACAGGAAAAGCCAAATCAAGATGGTAAACAAACAAACATGAATAGGCAGTGTGTCAACGGGCACACGCGTGTGTGTGACTCTCCTGGTCTTTGTTCCCTCTGCAGTTACCTTACACAGGGCTGCTCCCAAATCATCAGTATGCTTTAATGTCTCCCCCTGAGAAAAACTCTTCATGCCATGGTGGGAAATGTGAACACTTGATCAACCCAGTCCCTAAAATAGACCAGCACTTGCAAAGAGTTTCCAGTGGAACACAGCAATCTGCTAATACCATCCTGAAATTAATGTAGTAATTAGGTAAAAAACCTGAGAAATATAAGAATGATCTGGTATATAAAGGAAATGTTTGCATTTACCTGAAGTGTAACTCAGGATTTTCATACAAATGTTATATGAGGTAGGAAATAAGCCAAAAAACGACACAGTTAAAAATCAGATGAGTCTATGGAAAATCCTTTCAAACAGGTCTTACCCAGGTACGAGAAGACAGGAAATTTGGAAAAAAGAAGTAAGAAGCTCTCTCTTCCTAGATCTTTGCTTAGCAGAGAGCAAAGCTGTGGGCAATCAGAGCCCACATGTAAAATGAACTGCAATTAACAGTAACTTTTCCTCATAGTAACAGCCACTACAAGAATCCATCAAACCCAGAGAAAGAGGTTGATGAAGTAGTGATACTATTGACACCATCATGGAAAGAACATGGCACCAGAAGCCAGAAAGACCAGACTCTGTGCAGTCCACTTTGGTTGCAGTTTAATATATAAATTCACTTGTGCATTCCCAAAAGACCCAAAACGTCATTTAAGCACTGCCAGCCAGCTGCTATATCAAGGTAGCCTAACAGCCAATGTATCACACTTGCTTCACATTTTACTTCTTCAGTTTGCGTCAAACTTTTCTCTGCCACCACAAAGAATTCCTCCAGACACCCGTTTGAAGCAACTACAGTCTTCCCAGTGTGTGAAATACAGTTAAGTTCCAGTGACCTGTTGTAGGTAGTGCTAAAAGAAAAGGAGGGCTGTCCCGAGCTGAGGTGCTCACAGGCAAGGCAAGAGGGCTGCCAGTGGGGAGGAAGGCAAAGGGAACGTGGCATTGCCTCCTTTTGCACTCACACTGCACAACACAAGGTTTGTTTCCAGAGCTGTTAAACACATGCCACACACGCTAACTCTGCCCAAACTGCAATGTAGGATAAATGGACAAATGAAGAAAACGTGCAAAATGTAGAAGGGTTAGGGAAGAAAGCAGGCTTAGGGATGACTATTGGGGTGTCAGGGTGCAGTCACAGCCCTCAGTACCTGAGTAAACAGCCGAGTCCGTTCCCTGAACGGCTGCTCTCTCTCCGGCTGGTTCACTGGGGGTTGGCTTGTCTGAAGACTCACACTTTTGTCCCTCAGGTAGCTCTCCACTTACGTCCATGTTGCCATGAGTGCCCAAATCAGATCTTTCCTCTTCCTCATCATCGTTTTCACTATCTGTGAGCGCCGGCTCGATCAGTATTTGTACCCTGCTCGCCAGTGCATTCGCTGTGTGCTTGGGCTCTTCTGCCACGATAAACTCTGTAGGCGTCTCTGGCTCAAACGTGCTGCCAGACACTTCTTTGGTAGGAGACTCGATTTGGACGGAAGGCGCTCGCACAGGCAATCTGGATTTCTTGGAGCAGCGCTGTGCTGCCTTCTCATCCTCTGGCATCGGCAGCTTCCCATTGCTTTCACTCAGTGTGCTATTTCTCGTACCCGGGCCGCCTTTGCTCTTGGCGTACGTGGATCTAGGAACGACGGAAACCGAGCCCTTCCTTGCAGGGGCTACATAGCTTGGTTCTTCCTCACTAGAAGACAAGGTTATCGTCCTTTTGTGGGGGGTTCGTGGTTTGGGGAAGGCGCCAGGCTTTTCTTCACTGTTGTGGCCTTGCCCAGACTGCACAGAGAGTGAGCGGCACAGCTTGAACTGCCGGCCGCCTGCCTGCCCCCAGCGCGGGTCTGCCGGCACACTGCCCGCTGCCACAGAGTCTGCTCCCCTCTCCCAGAAGTTCTTCAAGTTCTTGAAGCGCTCACGATCGAGGCCGATCTCTTCCTCCTTATTACTCATCGAGGAGATTGTATAGTTCACGCCTTGCTTCGCAGCCTGGCTGCTTTCCCCCTCTGCGGTCAGGGGCTTGGGGCTTGCCGGCAGCTCTCTCTTTGGGAGGCTGTTCTCTGTTGGCCCCACATTATTCACAAAGTGCTCGGATATGGGGGAAGTTCTGCTTGGTTTCCTCTTAACTGGTATCTTGCTGGGAGCATAAGTGTCTTCAGGTGGAGTTTTTGGCCCCACTGTGGTGCCACTGGCCCCATCAACAGCTTCTCCTCCAGCCATGCTGCTGAGCTGATGCACAGCATCCTCTGAAACCTTGGCGGGCAATGGAGATACTCCATGACCTACAACAACAACAAATGCTCACAACCTTTCCCACCACACCACATTGTATTTCTCTGGAAGGTCTGGGCTGCAGCTTCTCAAAGGGAAGCCAGAGGGAGTTTCCAGCAACCATCAATATGTTCCTAATTCTTCTCCATTTTGAGACACTACAAGCTCCCTTCCATCTGAAGAAAGCCCTGAAAACCCCAGCCCTTCTCTCTGCCAAAGGACATGGGGAAAATCCACCGAGCTCTAAATTGCTGCTGTGAGTTGGAGATGAGTTTGCAGCTTTGCTTTCAGTTTGACAGCTTTCCTACTGGCTATTTGCTGTGTACCAAAACCACACTATACATTCAAGGAAGGAAGGAAGTAACTTGGATTTGTGGATTAGAGTTGTGAGCCAAGGACACAGTTTTAAATGTACTGAGAGCCAAAAGAAGTTTCAGTCATTGGATCTTTTTTCTTGGTCCCTGCTGCCTTGGGTATAACTCATACAAATGTTGGCAGCCCACTCTCACATGCCAAGATAAGAAATACTCTTTGTTACTCATCTGTACACACATACAAAAAGCATCTTGTACCTTGGTGTTTGATGCTGAGTAACAAACCCACCAATGGCTCACTGAACAAAAACCTTACCTTTTCTAGACAAATGCAAACTGTTTGTTGCAGCCACAAATGGACTTGTTCCGGTGTCACTCTCTGAGGAAGAGACATCATGTATACTGGATCTCTGAATGGAAAACAAACCCTATCAGAGTATATAAACTGGCAAGACTGGAAAAAGTGACACCAGTGCAGGCAGCCTGTGGAGCCCCCACCAGCAGGTACAGACTGCAAAGGCCCAAGGAATAATGAAATGAAGCGCAGAGGCTGTGCCTGTATTACCTTGTGTGATGCAGACAGCGGGACAGGAAATCGTGGCTTCAGTTTTGGCAAGACTTTATGCCCATCTGCAGTATCACGAGCAGGTGTGCTGGGTCTGTGGGAGAGGAGAAACACCTGAGCAAGGAGATCAGCACTAGTGATGTGCCTGGCAGGATGATCAGGCAAGTCTTCAACATCATCTCAGTTCTGCTTAGCTACGTTGCCACTTTTATCTGACTCAGCCCAATATAGGGCTGCCCAGAGCTGGTGCCTTCATTTAGTTTCTCTCTTACTGCTTGGAAGGACTGAGGAATGTGTTAAATGGCCTGAACTTGGAGTAAGGATGAGTCTCCCACTGCATCCAGTAGAGAACTTGCTCAATAAAAACAATGCTGTCAGCTTCTAGCTTTATTCAGACTTTCCCCTTCCGGGAGAAAACAGTAGGGAAAAACAGAGGAAGCAGCAGTGCCAGAAGAGCCCAAGAGCCATGCAAGAGAGATGCATTTCCATGCTATGGCCCAGGAAGGAACAGGCCACACCTCCCAGTTCAGGTCAAAGGCATAACCAGATTGATGATGGACTTACAAACTAGAGGACAGTACAGAATATACATCTTCATGCTTGGAATGTAAGTTAATTATTAACTGCCTATTAAATAAATGCAAGAAACACCTATCGCAGGCAGTTTACTTGACTGTTTCTACCACCTTTGGGAACGTCTAGCGGTGGCTGCTCTCCAAGCTGGTGAGATTTCATATGGGAATGCTTTGTGCTTGGGGTCAAATGAGAAAAAACAAAGCACATTGCTCAGGATTTAATCAACCCCCCAAAAAAAACATTAGGACCACTGCTGTGCCAGTAAGCAGGAGCATCTTGGGCTTCTTGGCTCTAGATCCTTCATTAAACAAGACCCAGTGATCAGATGCAAGTGGTCTGGATGTGTTGTCAAGGCCTATATTTAATATTTAGCTGGAGCACTTATCACCTGTGAAGAATGATTCCTAATTCTACTGACAAAAAATGCAAATAAGACGGGAGCAACACACATACATGTGAATATTGTAATGGCTCCTCCATAGTCCCAGAATATTGAGTGAGGTCACTGATTTACTTGTGGGGGTGCTTTTAGTGGGTGTTTCTGCTCAGTCAGTACAACATGAAAACCTACCAAGTGGTGATGGAGATTGCTGAGCACTGGACACTGAGGTTGGCACCAGCAGGAAATGAGCAGTTTCCTCCAACAATTCATTTTGTTAGTGTTGCTCCATGGCAAAAATTAAACAAATAAAACCATAATTACTTTGAAAAGCTAACAGAATATCCTGACATTAGAGACAGCTTCCACTTTACTGACTCCTTATCGAATCATGCAGGAAAAGACTTTTCTGGGATAAGCACATTAGTACTCAGTTATTAGGGGAGGATTGATATGCTGACAATTCCTGGAAAAAGGGTTTAAAAATATCCTATATCACCTATTACTTACATAGCTTTGGGAACTCAATGAAAGACCAGGATTTAAGGGGTAGCATTCACTTGTCATAAGAAGTAAGGGCAGCAGCCAGAGCATTGCATGAGCAGGAGTGGTTACCTCTCCTCTCCTGCACCAGCAGCGTGCTCAGGGAAAGGGGCAGCTTTGCTTTCCAGACTTGTCCGGATGTGCTCGTTGGCCTCATCTGTAATGCAACAGAGACAACTGAGAAATTACATTAAACTTGTTAAGGGTTTAAACTAAATAGAACTACTAATGGTGTCCTGGTGTGCAGCATCACCCGCAATGCCCACCCAGCCAAGGCACCTCAGACCCCGCAGCGAGCTGCCCAGCACCTGACACGCACCAGGAGCTGTCCCATCCCTGGAAACCCTCGCAGGACACTGCTGGGGCTGTCAATAAACTTAATCCGTTCCAGGATTTAAATTCAGCCATTTCCTGTTTTGACTCAAGCCATCCGATCTTGGCAAACAAAGGAGAGGCCAATACAGTTAATGAGGAGATCCCTCTTATTTTTACTGGCACAAGGCTCAGCTATGTCTTCTAAGCTCTCAAACACCCTGAAGAAAAAGAAAACAATAGAAGACGATAACCTTTACAGCAGCCTGCCAGGGAATAAAGCTGCATTACTCATTTTGCTGGCAAACAGGCTTTCTTGCTACTGCAGAACCAAAGGGATTAAACTCTCAAACAGCAATGAAAAACTAAGGTTAGCCTGTTCAACAAGATCTCCACATATTTATTCACATGCAGCCAGGTCTATTTTAAAGAGTGAATCTGCCTGTTACAAAAACTGCCAAATCTCTTTAGGATACATTGCATTACACAATACAGCAGAATCATGGGCTCAGAGGATTCAGATATGACATAAAATAATACAGCCTTGCTTGTTATCTGGTCAGGAAACTGCACTGAGCCCAAGAGCAGACCTACAGTGAGGCTGTGCTACCAGTGTCACACCGATGCTGCCTGTGTGGTGCCATCCAGTATCAGCACAGCCAGGTAACAGGGATATCTGAAGATGGAGCTTCACTCCCCCTTGTCTATGCATCCCTATGGAGAAAAAGGCTGCAGTCCCAGCAATTCCTTCCTGCCCAGTGCCTGGACCTACAGTGCAGGGGACCACGGCAGTCATTGCTCAGGCTGTCTGCACTATGACCATGTGTCTGGCACACACATGAGAGGGAGCTGGGTGGCCCTGTGGTTTCTGCAGTAGTGGAAGTTGGGGAGTCACTCCTGCTGGAAGGCAGGGTCTGGTGGTGTCAGAGTGAGCCAGTTTTAGACAGCACGTCTCAGAGAGGCACTGTGTTTTGCCCATGTAAACACTGATGTGCAGAAAGCATCACTGAACATCATTTTGGGAGAGACAAGCTGTGGTATAGCTGGTGGCACACACAGGCCACATCACACCCCGGCATGAGAAGGCATAGTGACTAGAGTTTATTTATACAGCGAGCCACATCCTCCTCTCCTGCCCCAGACCCGAGGGAGGGAGAAGTCTCTGGAAGTAGAGGAACCAAACACAGAGCTCCCACGTTTCCCCTCTGCCTGTCGTGGTTGAAGAGACCTTGACAACCAAAGACTGCATTCATTTCTCACCTCCCTTCCAAAGGCATTGTGTCATATTTGCTTTTCACTGACACCTCCCCCTCAGACAGAGCTCCCCTCTCCTGGCTGGCAGAGGCAGGAGGAGGTGTTTGCTTCCTCCCGTTCAAATCCCAGCCCTTCAAAATGGCTCAGCCACTGACACAGCTATACCTGGCTCCTATCACCACAAACAAACAGGTTATTAGTATGTTATGATCCATTAAGACAAGCAAAATGCCTTTGCTAACTTTAGGATGAGACAGAATAAGAAGCAAATTACAACAGAAATTAGTAGTGGCCTGACCAGTTTAACTTGTCCATACATATGTTTATACACATATATATACAGCCACTCCTGCTTTACTACTTCAGCTGCTTTACTAATTTCTTATCACCCTAAGATGAAGACACTCAACACCTGGGGAAAGCACAGCTAACCGTGCCATCAGGGCTGACTTGCCTTGGTGGGTGGATAAAATGGTCCCTCTCCTAGAAAACCTATCCATTGCACAAAAGCTAAAGGAGAAGTTATCACCAAGTTCACCCATCTGTGCTGCTGCAGTTTAAATACAGGGTATCTATTTTATAGATTTATATTACTGCCAATTACTAATGTTTTCTATTACAATCAATACCAACTGTGAAGAACCTTAGGGATCCATATAACCCTCCCTTCTGGAGGTTGAAACCCTCCTCCAGAAAAGGTCACTGGGCATTTCTACCCCTCCTCTGCCCATTTACCATGTAAAGAGAATGCCAGCAATTATCTCAGCAGGGCTTTTCCATGCAGGAATTTTCTCATTTCACTCCCTAACACAGCCATCAAAGACCTAAATCAGGATTAACAGCTGGAGTCATGAGCACGTTACATTGATTCGGCTAAATGAACACTCACCCCTTTATCACCTTGAAAGCCAACAGAAGGTGAATGATTCTGATCTTTCCAGAAGAAGCAAAAAAAGGTGTGAAGATGGCAAGCAAAGGCCCCCATCTCATCTACTGAGGATTGAACGTGAGCTGCACAGCCAAAATGGTTTGTAAAGGGGCCTTGTCCTTGCTCGTAGATGGGCAAAGTGCTGCTCTGACCAGTGCAATGCTCTTGCTGACAAGTCAGTGAGAGAAGTGCTTGCCCTCCTGTGTAATGGGATGCAATTTACATGTTAACCACTGCAGAAGCTGAGCACACAACAGGCAACAGCAATGTGAAAATAAAAGCTGCAGATTCTTGATCCTTAAGCAGTGCTGCAAAATGGCAGTGGGAAAAGAGGAAGGAAAAAGTCATGTTATACCTGTGCTTTACCAAAATAAGTCTGAGAACAGAAAAAGAGAAAGAAAGGGAAGAAAAAAAGCTGAAAAAAGAAATGAAGAGGGCTAAATCTAAATCTAATTACTATAGTAATTTAGTAACATTTGCTGCTTCTTAAAACAGCATTAGTCAACTAATGCACATGCAAAGACATGCATATTACTGCTGTATTAATGTGATTATTTCAGATGATAACCTGAGACCACACCTCATACGTGCACATCAGCAGTGAAGGTTAAATCTAAACCCAACAGTACTTCAAATTTTGCTTTCCTGAAATGGGCAGCAAGCTAAACGGGCTGATGGCTCTGGCAAGGCAAAAGGCAGATGAATCCACCTCACTGCTGGTCACTAGCTGAGCTGCAGATGACAAAGCTTGTGTCTGACTCTTCATGCAAAGAGGGTGCAAGCACAAAAGCACATCCTCAAAAAGCAGAACATGGTCTGTAGAAATGGCCAAGGCCATTTCTGGAAGGCCAAGGCCGAAAAACGTTTTATATGTTTTAGCATTCTGGACGGATGATAAAACAGTAAATTTAATGACATCATGAATGCTTAATACCAAGGATAAAAGCAACTTCATATGAAATATGATGGGCCAGTTCTGCATCAGAGGCTCCAGTGAATCTATGCTAAGTTATGAGCGCTGTCAGGAACAAGTAAAAAGCAAACAGAAAATGAGGCTCTCGGTGAAGTCCCTAACCAGTGCTTAGCTCCGAGACTGTGTCCAAGAAATGTGGAGCTAAGGGAGCTATATTAAACCCAGGCAATTAACATTAGAGACATATCCTGGCCAACAAGACCCATTACACAAAGGCGTGACCTACACTGCTGCTGCCCCACAGCAGCTGGGCCCAGGAAAGAGGGCTGAACTGAACTGGTGGAGATGACATTTGAGTTTTGGACAGATGGAAGATAACCCTTTACCTAACCGTGGCCTCCACTGCAAAAGAACAGAGCCCAGTTATAGGGTCCCTGTATTAGAGACTGTGGTAGACAGCTCAGAGCTGCTTGTCAAGGCCATGGCTTCCCCAGAGCAGCAGCACCCAGTAACTCACCAGCCAGGTCTGGGTCTCTATGATTACCCACCCTAACAAACTACTAAGGAGACTGTGTGAGACTAGGCTGCAGTCCCACGGTCCAGCTGTGGAGTCAGCCGGTCTGTCTTCATGTTAAGGACTGGACAGAATCATCGCCAGCTCTGCTCTGCACAGATGTTCAGCACGAAGTGCCAGCTCCAGGCTGGTTATATTTGGACCCAAAGCACAGCCCTGCTCTTTTCGCATGAGACTGGTCTCTTCTCTGCCCTGAGCGGACAATTCTGATTTGATCTGTTCTACATACCACCATGAGAGTTCACCTGCACGTCAAACAACATGAAATACATCTGCTGCACTTCAGCACATGGTCCCCTGGATACCCTTGCTGTGGCACAACAGCCTGGGTACCATTCAGGCTTGTCTGCAAAGCCCTTTTTACTTTGAAAACCACACTGTGCCTTGGAATTATTCCCCTGTTCCAGTGGGCAAATATCTGCCAGGAGAAGAGAGGCACCCCCTCCTTTTGAGAGGTGTGACTGACCCCACCACCCTGGAGGCTGTGAGAGCAGCTGCCTGGATGGCTTTATCAGACCTGCCCAGGAACTGGGGCGAGGGGTGTGTTTGACCACACGTATCAGTTTGATGCCAGAAACTGCTCTGTACCATCCCTTCCCTTTTTGCTTCTATGACAAGAAATTATACCAGTGACCTCTGACAAACAGACATTTTGGAAGAAAGAAGCTAATGTGCTGCATGTAGCTGGTGAACAGCTTTTGCCTTGGTCCTCTGGCACATTGGGCCCTGATTTTGATAATTAGGTATTTTTTTCTAGTACTCACAGCTTAGCCGAGAATCCCTTTACCACGACACAAAGACTGGCCCTCAGCAGGCTCTGAGTAGAGGGGGACCCCCATAACTTGACCACTTTTTTCTGGTCCATCATTTTGTTTTCTTAAGATGCACACTAAAATACTTACTTTCTAGTTTGCCTTTTTTCCTTCTAATCGATGCCCGAAGCAGATCAGGTCCCTCTAAGTCTTCCTGGAACCGTTTTGCCTTCACTTCTGAAAACCATTCACCTGTCACAAACTTCTTCTTCTTTTCATCCTTGATGGAGCCTTGTATCCGCCTGAAAGTCAACGAGAACATTACACACCAAAAAGAGCTCCAAGGTTTCAACTCCCCCTGAGCTATCTTCATAACAACTGTCCTTAAAGGTCACTTGTCTGATACTGTAAAGGGTTCAGAGGTTATTCTCTGCAATCACAAGGGACAAACCAGCATTAAGCCAAAACCTGATTTAGTCTTTATCTGAAGCGGGAACAGAACCTTGTAAACACAGGCTTTCACCTCTTCCACATTTTCCAAATCCAAATCAGTCACCTGGCAAGGAGATGTGTCCATTTGCTTTGCAGCCCTGAGGGTTTGGGAAGGGGCGGGGCTGTTTGCAGGTCTTGCCCTATGGTTTATTACTCTCTTTATAAGAAGCAAAGCCTTTTGGATCAAATTTGACACAAGCCATGGAAATAAATCATGTTATTTTGGGGAGCAACCTGTGCCTGCAGCCTTCTCCCTGGACACTGAGCAGTTTCGGCACTCAAACAGTTAGCTCTCCTTCCTGAGCACAGCTCCTACTGTAACTGGCTCTGGAACACCCAGGGCTGGTTTTTGGCACCTAAACCCCTCAGAGCTCCATTTGCTACCATGTACTTTTAACCCTCCTCCAGTTATTCTGTTTTCACACCATAGCTTGCTGAATTAGCTGCCTTTCAGTGGGTGTTGCATCCCACAGCTCACCACCATTCAGGGTCCCCATGAGACCTGAAAGGCTACAAGAGACTCCTACCTCAGTCCAATTCAGAGGAGGAAGAGGCAAACCCCAGATATCAAACAGCCACGAAGAGTCACATTTGGTTGCCTAAAGGCCAGAAGGGAGAGGTATGGAATAACAAGACCCAAGGCTCTGCAGGCAATGCTCGGGGACCAGCAGCACTGACAGCAAGGGAGCTGCACAGCTCCCACCCAGACCTGGGCTTCACCTGCCCCTGTGAGGGTCTCAAGGTGCTAGGGCAGAGGGGATGTATGAAGATATTTTCACCTTGCTAACACCAGATCAGTGTAATGTGACTTCCCTTCACTCAGCAGGCAGGTGGTGTTGGAGCCAAACATGCCCACACTTGTACCAAAGGTCTTACTGCCTATAGCCATACGGGCAGCAAGGGGCACTTGGCACCACCCTGCTCAGCATCTCACTCACTGTGCTCCCAAAGTGCAACAGCTCCCAAAGAGGAGCGAAACAAACCTGAAATAATCCAAACACTCTTTTCCCCAAACCTTCACTGCAGAGCAGAAATCTTAGTGCATTTCAGAAAAAGAGAAAAATGAAGAAGAAAAAAAAAAAAAGATAAACCCTTGGTTCAATTCAGAGGAGATGTAGGAACATGCAGACACACACACCTCAAGTCCAAGACATGTGCATGCCACCACCAGTTCTGTTTCTGAGCAGAGGCCAGGGCACACAGGGTCCCTGGAGCCAGCTGCAAAGCCACCCACTCCCTCTTTGAGCCATGAGCATCCCTTCTACACGGGGCTTACTCTTTTCTGGCTCAACAGCAAGTCAAAGACTCACATCCTTAACAGGGGTAACCTGGCACAGTATCATCCACCCTCACTGAGCTACTCAATTCTTGCTGTGGAGAATCTGGTGCCAGCTTCCTGAGCATGGTGCATACTGTCAACCCAGATGGTCTAACGGCTGGCATTTAAAAACTGACAGCAGCAACAAGCAATCCCCATCAACCAGACCTGAGATCCAGGATGGCCAGTGGCAAGTGAGCTGAACCGGCTCTGAAACAGCTCCCTGCAACCTCTGGCAGATCATGTAGCCTCCCACTGCCCCTCTCTGCCTGCACAATGAATGGATGCTGCATACACACGCACCTCAACGAGCACGAGAGGGACACAAAGCAGAGATGGGGATGTAGTCTCATTTTAAAGCACTCTGTGGGATTCTGTGCTACCAACTGAGGAAAAAAGGTAGCAGCTACTTCCCTGCTTGGACCTCTGACACTGAGAAATCAGCATCTTCCTCCCAGAGCAGGAAAGGGACGACTTCCCTTGCCATCTCTTGAGGGCTGCTGATTAGCTTGAAGGACAGTCCATTCATGCAGAGGAAGGACAGCAGTGACAGCAGGATGGCTGAGAAGGCTGGAGGTGCAATGAAAAGATCTATCGGGGTCTGAGCAAGAAGGGCCGGCACTGTTGCAGCCTGGATCTCTCCCTGTTGCACACACACACATCCACACACAAACTCCTCTCTAGAAGAAGTAAAAAATGCCCCCAGGATAAGCTCACATCCTGCTGTTACCGCATGCTCTCACCTGATGCGATCCCCATCCTTCTTCTTCAGCTCTGCGTCTCTCTGCAAAACCTTCATCAGTTTCTCATACTCCTCTTCGGTCAGGAAGCTCAAGTCCAACATCTTCCCTGCAATCTTCTTCACTTCCTCAGACAGCTGAAGCAACGACACACCAGGAGCTAATGCAGCCCAGACCGCAGCAATGCCATGGGCACCCTCCCTGGTGCGCCGAGCTGAGCAAGACGCGGCTGGAGGCAACGGGCTTCACAACAGCATGGCTTGGGTGGGAGCTGCCTTAGCACCTGGGCTGGCAGTGCCAGGCTCCTCGCCGGCAGGCTCTGCGCTGCATGCCTTCCCCTGCCAGGGAAATGCTCCCAGCAAAATCCTGCTCCTTCCTTTCCCTTCAGGCACAGTCGCAGCCACTTGGAAGCCAACGTCAATCAAAAAGGCAAGCACAGGAAGGGGTGAGCTCGCTGCCCGCCTCAGCCGCCCCTCAACAGGCACGAAAGCTCGTCTCACCCACTGCAACCCGGCACCTCTGGCATGTGCTTTCTTCAGCGGGGAAGTCTGCCTCCGGGGAGCTCAAGCATCCCTGCAAAGAAATAACACCGAGATGCCTTTTATGATAAGCACGACATATGGTAACCAAATGTGTACATTGGGGGTTTTATTTGCTCTTCAGCGCAAGTTCCAAAACAAGCTGCCCTACTTTTCTCCCTGTCCTACAGCTCCTAGCGTGGCATTAACCTCACCAAGACAATGTTCCATTTTAGACGCTTTCCTACTAGCAGGTAAACACTTGACTCAGCATGCTACAAGCAAAACATGCATGTAAATTACCAAACTGCTTGCTTGCTTGCTTTTTACCTTCTTTTCCACACTTCTTTCTGGCTTAAATGAGACTAAAGATAAGCAGCCAGCCTCTGGAAAGCAATCTGAAAGTCTTATTTTGCTGCATGTTATGCCACAGAATACCAGAGGCTGCTCATTTTCCAATGTGTGTGCACTTTGCTTTATGCTGCACTGACATTTGCTATTCAAACAGCACGGGTGCACATCACCCAGTGTTTCAACAGACACTGAGAATGGCCAGAGGCTGCAGGGCGTGGAGGAAGAGTAAATCATGCGTTGCTTTGCTACTTTTTTCCTTTTCCACTCTCCTGGCCAACTTGAGGGCAGTCAGGCACCTCCAAGGGAGCAGAAGCTCTGCTCCTGTCCCTGTAGGCAGTTTCCAGCTCACCAGGTGGGATCTTTCCATTGTCTCCAAGCCCGTCAGGTGACTGTGGGTTTCAACATACCTGGCTCTCTCTCCCAGAGCCACAGCCTTGGGAGTCAAGTTGTTAACAATGAATGAATCCCAGCTCTCACAGCAAACATCATCTGAAGGTCATCAGGCCCATTCCCATCAGACCATTCTTTATCACCCCTACTCTCTGTCTAATCTGCCCTTTTGAGGATGGCAACCACAGCCCTCTTGAGCCACCCAATTCAGCATTTAGCTAACTGGCAGCAAGCAACTTCTTCCTGTTGCTCCGGACCATCCTGATAGATGACGATGATCCTCATCTATCCACCACGGGGATGCTCCCTTCTCTGCCATCCTCACAGGGTTTTACACCACAGCCTCCACGTTAACCAACCCCAGCTCCTTCAGGTACCTCAGAGCTGGGGTCTTCTTCTTTGGACTGTCTCCACATGGGGCACCTCTTCCTTAAACCGATATATCCAAAGTCAAGCACAAGTATTTCACTGAACTCTGCTCATTTGACACCATGTCACAGATTTACATTATTTTATGGATGATGTATTCCCAAATGTTTGCCTTTTTCAACATATGAGAAGCAAGAACAGGCATCTGACTAATGCTTATGAAGAAATGCCACAGAACACTGCATAGAAAGGCTCATAAAAGGAACGGACGTTGTCATAAAAACTCTAATTGGAGGAAGGGAAACAACATCTCTTATTTCTTTGAGGCAAGTATGGCTGTGCTTATCACATAATAATTAGTCTTCATCACCTGAGAAACTATTGATACCACTATAATCAGTTAAAGCAGAAACAGTAATAAAGAGCCCTAATGAATCTCTACTGCTTAAACCTACATTTCAGTCAGCTTGGCACGGCTCTTCCATGCTTGGTTCCAACCATCCACTCTCTCTGGCTCTCAGGCAAAGTCCTGCTTTTACAAAGACGTTTACAGCAATTTCTAGGACAGATTTTATTTTTAAAGAAGTATCTGGGGACACAGTTTTCACAGTATTTGCTTCTCTAGAAGTTTTATTTATTTTTAACAAACCCACGACATGTGGGCTGAAAATACTTCAGAAAAACTTCAGCAAAGACTCATACTTATTCATCAGGATGGTAGTCAATTAGAAAAAGAATAACAGCTACTTCTTTATAAATAGCCTTTTTATCCCTGTGAATATTTTATCTTCCTGGAATAGTAATAGTCTTCCAATCCCTAAAGGGGTCTACAAGAAATCTGGAGAAGGACTGTTTACAAGGGTATGCAGTGACAGGACATGGGGGAATGGCTTTAACCTGCCAGAGGGGAGACTGAGCTGAGCTCTGAGGCAGAAGTTCTTCCCTGTGAGGGTGCTGAGGCGCTGGCACAGGGTGCCCAGAGAAGCTGTGGCTGCCCCATCCCTGGCAGTGTTCAAGGCCAGGTCGGACACAGGGGCTTGGAACAATCTGCTCTAGTGGAAGGTGTCCCTGCCCATGGCAGGGGTTGGAGCTGGATGAGCTTTAGGTTCCTTCCAACCCAACCCATTCTGTGATCCTACAAACAGTTGCATTAGAAGGAAAAGGTTAACAGAAACCAAACAGAAGCCAAATCCTTCTTTTGTTTTAAATAGTTACAAATCAAACCACATAAGGCACTCGCTGTGGGAAAATGAGCTGGTCCAGAAGACACTCCACCTGGAGGTTTTGCTGGCAGGCTCAGGAGCTGCAATGCTGTCAACCCAGGCCTGCAGGAGTAAACAAGGCTGGGAAACAATCTCCATATGCAGCATGATCACGGGGCTGTCCCGGCTGTGACTTGAGCTTTTGTAACCTCCAATGGGTGCACCGTGCTGCTGCGTTTTGGACACAGCAGAGGCTTCAAACAGGAGAACCCACCATTAACCACTCCGGAGAATGTGTTATTTGTTTACTTGGGTCTACAAGCACAACAGATTAAGGATATAAATCGACATGTACAGCGTGTTATCAGTCAGGCACACTGCACTGTACCAAACCATCGCCTGCTCCCCAAATTGCTTAATCCTACAGCTCACACACTCCTTAAACAGCATCATGCAGCTTTGATTTGCTTTGCTAGATTGCACATAATCCTCTCCCATCTCTAACCCTTGTTAATGAACAGTTTGGAGACCACAGGAATCATGCAGTACAAACATCCAAACCCGTAAGAAACGGGGCCACTTTCTGTGTGTCCTGCCCAGCCCTCACCACCTCTGCAAACAGCAGGGAAGGGAAACACAACAGCCTGGCAGAGGCGTAGGGCAATGATGGGAGTCATCAGGCAGCACTGGAACAGATTTTACCTTAAACTTGGACCTCTTAAGTGCAGGAACCCTTATGAGCCCGCTGATGTAAACTGGTCTTGGACAAACCGTGACAAGCAAAAAGAAAGTAGCACTGTCCTTCCCTCCTGCTGGTGGGAGACCCCTACGTCAGGATTGACTTCTTCACAAGGGTGCTGAGACACTGGCACAGGGTGCCCAGAGAAGCTGTGGCTGCCCCATCCCTGGCAGTGTTCAAGGCCAGGTTGGACACAGGGGCTGGGAGCAACCTGCTCTAGTGGAAGGTGTCCCTGCCTGTGGCAGGGGGTTGGAGCTGGATGAGCTCTAAGGTTCCTTCCAATCCAACTCATTCTATGATGATTGCTCTGTGGCAAGAGAAGCAAAACAGAGTCTGCTTAAAGACCGAAGCCTACCGTGCAGAGCCAGCTCAGGCTGCTCTCAGGCACTGCACCACCACGATGCCCCTGTGCAGGGGGAGCAGCCCTGCTGGGTCCTGCCACTTGTCATGAGAAAGCATAAATCCAACCAGAGCAGTGATATGCAAAGGACTTTCCTGCCTCTAACTGCTTTTCTGGGGAAGAGAATATCACAAAGAGATCGACTCACACACCCACCCGTGTTGACACATGCTGGGCGTGGAGACAAGCAGAAGCATGACCTATCATGTGGCATAACTGGCTGCATCTCTTACTGTGATAGCTCTTGACTTCTTGTGGCTGCCTCCCCAGTAAGAACCAAATGCTCCAGTCACTGGAGGAGATCCGTGACAGTGATACGCTGCTGTGCATAACAAGCTTGTCAAACCCAGAGCCCAAGCATGGGCAGAGAAGTGAGTCCTGTTCCATTAAAACAGCATTCTGGGATGTGCACATTTTATCTCCCAACAGATTTTCAGTGTCCAGTTTAAAAACACAGGAAAGGCCATACACAGCTAGGCTGAGGGGCCCTGTAAAAGGCACTAGTTTATCTTCCGTCTGGGCTAACAGCATACTGATGGAGAGAGTACACTGGATGTCCTGTGCTCCAGCTTCCTGCAAGGTACGGGGCTGGGGCTCCCTGAAACAGGAGCAATGCCTCTGTATTTCATAGGTTTTTCTAATTACTTTCTAAACTCACATTAATTTTAAGCATTTGCAATATTCTCAAAGCCCCCCAGTCCCACAGCCTCACTACACTTTAAACGTAAAGGCATCTGCCCTTGTTTTGCCTTGACCCACCACTTGCTTGCTTCATTTGGCATCCCCAAGCATTTGATCAGAAAACCTAGCAGGAATTACTCTGCACTCACCGACTTCATGTTGCTCATTTCGCAGACCTGTGTCACAGCCATGGTTTCTCTTCCAGAGAAAGGAAGTTCGTTGTTTGCTCACTGCAGGTGTTACTCAGCCTTGATCATTCCTCACACCTTTCTCTGCCCCCATTTAGCTTCCTACAGAACTGCTGAGCAGTGTTTTGGTGCAAAAGGGCTTTTCCCAACAGCTGCAAATCCCCATCTTCACCTGTGAGAATGGTTTTGCAGTGCCAGGAGAGGCAGCGTAAGCTGTGCCCGGCTGCAGCTCTGCAGCCAGGAGGGACACAGGGAATGCCAGC